CCTCCGTCTTGTTCCCCGCGCGCTGCAGGGGGATCGTGTCCAGCAGGTTTGCTTCCTTGGCAAACTTCCCACCTAAGGGGGGAGAAGAAAGCGTCAGCTGGGATAACGGGCAATGGGCACAAGCTGGAGCACAGGAGGTTGAGGCTGAACGTGAGGAAAAACATCTGAGGGTGGCAGAGCCCTGGGACAGGCTGCCCAGAGAGGCTGGGGAGGCTCCTTCCCTGGAGACATTTCAAACCCAGCTGGACATGTTCCTGTGGAATCTGCTGGAGGTGACCCTGCTCTGGCAGGGGTTGGGCTGGGGGATCTCCAGAGGTCCCTTCCAACCCTGATGACTGTGTTCCCCATGCTGCTCTGACAACAGCACAGGGGTGAACCCTGCTCCACCTTCCCAAAAACCGAGGAAGCCTTGAGGAAAGTGCTGCCAAGCCAACACCTGGGCTGGCTGCCCTCACCTGGAGACCCTACCCCCTCTGGCTACCACGGGAGGGGCAGATCCTGGTGCTGGTCACCAAGTTAATGCCACCACCAGGGCAGCCACCTCCCTGTGCCACCAGGATTTGTGCCGCCAGCCCTGCTCTAACCCCGTGGAGGGGAAAGGCACGTCACCTAGAGTTTAGCAGAGGATGAAGCAATACCCAGCAAGGCAGGGAAGTTGTTGGCAGAGGTCAGCCAGCTGCCACCATCCACCACCAGGGTGGTGCCTGTCACGTAGGAGGAGAGGGGGCTGGCCAGGAACAGGGCGCTGTGCGCGACCTCCGTCTTGTTCCCCGCGCGCTGCAGGGGGATCGTGTCCAGCAGCTTTGCTTCCTTGGCAAACTTCCCACCTAAGGGGGGAGAAGAAAGCGTCAGCTGGGATAACGGGCAATGGGCACAAGCTGGAGCACAGGAGGTTGAGGCTGAACGTGAGGAAAAACATCTGAGGGTGGCAGAGCCCTGGGACAGGCTGCCCAGAGAGGCTGGGGAGGCTCCTTCTCTGGAGACATTCCAAACCCAGCTGGATGTGTTCCTGTGGGATCTGCTGCAGGTGACGCTGCTCTGGCAGGGGACTGGACTGAACCATCTCCAGAGGTGCCTTCCAACCCCACCACTCTGTGACTAACCATGGGATGACTCAGTGCAGCACTGCTTCCCAAGGAATCCAGCTGCGATCCTGGCACAGCCCTGAGGACAACCCAGGGACAACCCTGAGGGTTAGAGGTGGGAAGTCTGAGCCCACCCGTGGGATTCCTACAGCAACATGAGTTCAAGACAGGATCTCCAAGAGCTTTCCCAGCCTCCAGGGCTGAGCAGTTCCCTGCAAGGATACCAAGGCTGCAGGAAGGGCTGCTCGCCCAGAGAGATGTGCCAGAAGAGCTGCAGGAAAGTCATAGCCAACAGTGACAGCCCACGTACCCCGTGAGGTGCATGGCACTGCCACCATGGTCCCCTCCCTGACAGACACCAAGAAGCCACCATGGAGGCCCAGGTTGCCTTACCCAGCCTTCGGAAGCCCTCAGTGCCTGCAATGGGGCCTGGGGCCAAGCTGTTCACCCGGATCTGGTTGGGTCCCCACTCCACAGCCAGGTGACGGGTCATGGCATCTGGGAAGGGATTACAACAGGAATGAGCACATGGAGAGCAGAACCATTCCAGTTACTGGTGGGTTTTTATTGGGAGGAGGGACAAAAAGCCACAGGGAACTCTAGCCAAGAGCAACAGGCCCCGGCAAAGCAAGCCTGGGGGAGAGAAGAGCCTCATCCCAATCCCAGGGACCTACTAAGCACACCTGTTCATGGAATTCCTGAATCATAGGATAGTTCTGGTTGGAAAAGGCCTTTAAAATCATTGAGTCCAACCATTAACTCACCTTTACCCTGTCCAGTGCTAAACCACGTCCCTCAGCACCACATCTACAGGGCTTTGAAACCCCTCCAGGGATGGTGACTCCACCACCTCCCTGGGCAGCCTGTGCCAGTGGTTAATGACCCTTTCAACTATCCCATGGCTATCTTCCCATTCCAATACTTGGGAAGAATGGGCTTCTTTATTGGCCCCAAACAGCTCCCAGAGCCCCAGCAAGGAGCATTGAGGTACCTATGGCAGCCTTAGCAGAACCAGCATGCACCTGGAGGGCCTGTCCTCGGTAGCTCAGGGTTGCTGTGATGTTCACAATGACCCCACCATGGTCCTGGGGAAGGACAGGAGGTGTGGAGTTAGTGGGGAGCAGCACTGGGCTGTGGTGGGACAAGAGAGCTGGGTGAGGAGAGACAGCCACTGAGTCCTCTGCAGTTCCACTCACCCGGAAATACTTCTCAAAAAGGACTTTGGAGGTGTTGAAGGTGCCAAGGGTGTCAATATCCATCACTGTCTTGAAGGCATTGAAGGACAGGGAGCTGGCTGGGCACAGAAAGTTCCCTGCAGCATCTGAAGAATAAGCAGCCAGGGACAGAGTCAGGACAGGGCCAGGAGAGCTCAGGCAAGTTCAGAGCCTTTCTGAGGGAGGGATGGTGAGCAGTTCTGTGTGGGAACAGCACTGGTGAGGGGATTAACACCTGGTGGCTCTGGGGACTCAGCTGTACAGCCAGCCTGAGGGCAGGGGGTGCTGGTGCAGTGAGAGCAGTGATGGTTGGAGGGCCATGCATGGAGAACAGGCCACTGGTTCCTCTGAGCCCACCCCTGAGCTCCATCTGAGCTCATCCCTCTGTGCTCCCAAGGGCTGCCTGGCCACTCCCAGGCCAAAGCAGGACACAGACACTGGGCAAACACAAGCCCTGTGCTGAAAGCCACCCTTCCTGGCAGTGCCAGCTCTTCCCTGCCCGTTCCAGAGCTCACTGTTCACCAGGATGTTGATCTGTTCAAACTCTCTCAGTGCCTCATCCACTGCTGCCACGATGGTCTGGGGCTGCCGGACGTCCAGGCAGAGGGGCAGGCACTGCTGCCCTGTGGCTGCCACCAGCTTCTTGGAGGCCTGCAAAAAAACCCCAAACAAACAAGAAAACACAAAGAGAGATGAGGTTCTTTCTGGGACTTTCAGCAAAGGTGAGACCTGGACCTCATAACAGGTGAGACACAGGTCACAGAATCATGGAATCCCAGACTGGTTTGGGTTGGAATGGACCTTCAATATCATCTAGATCCACCCCCCTGCATGGGCAGGGACACCTCCCACCAGCCCAGGTTGCTCCAAGCCCCATCCAACCTGCCCTTCAACACTGCCAGGGATGGGGCAGCCACAGCTTCCCTGGGCAACCTGGGCCAGGCTCTCACCACCCTCACACTCCACAATTCCCTCCTCATGTCTCACCTCAATCTCCCCTCTGCCAGTTTTCATCCCTTCCCCCTTGTCCTCTCCCTCCCTGCCCTTGTCCCAAGTCCCTCCCCAGCTTTCCTGGAGCCCCTTCAGGCACTGGAAGGTGCTCTAAGGTCTCCCTGGAGCCTTCTCTTCTCCAGGCTGAACACTCCAACTGTCTCAGCCTGTCCCCAGAGCAGAACTGCTCCAGCTTTTGGATCATCTTTGTGGACTCCTTGGGACAAGCTCCCGGCGCTCC